GAGTTATGCCTCTGCATAAAAGTCAAACACACACACATACACACACACACACACACACACACACACACACACACACACACACACACACACACACACACACACACACACACACACACACACACACACACACACACACACACACACACACACACACACACACACACACACACACACACACACACACACACACACACACCAATAGAACACCGTCCTGCAGTGTTCTGTCTAGAATCCAAAACTGATAGATCAAACATTACAGTCACAGACATGCTAAATCTGTTCACATATACTCATACACTTTGTATGCTATTGTATCAAAGATCCTAGATCTGGGAATGTGGCAAAAATGGTAAAAAGCAGCTTGGATGTGGCAAGACACACACACTGTCAGATGATCACACTGGTTGTAAAATAACCTAAAACATAAAAAACAGGCTGCCGGTGGTAAACATCAACCGCAGCTGACAGGCTTTCTGATTAAATGTGACTTATACATACAGTACTTATGGATACTTATGCATGCAGTAGTTGTATGCATACACAAGTTCTCTGTACACGGGATTTTGTAAGAGACACGGTGGTATTGCTTTTGCCTTCTGAACTTCATCATCTCTGTCTGTCTGTTTTTGTGTGGACAGTTTGTCACTGCATTTCAGGGTTGCACACTGTACAGGTGTGAAGTTGAGCTCAAAAATAATGCAGAGTTTATCACTAGCTGTACTCAAAGCAGGGGGGCCAAAAGTAGGGGGGTAGAAAGTGGAGCAGGTGCCATTGGTGTCACCAATGTGACATGTTACTGCGATGCTACAAGGTAGTATAGATTTCAGTAATATGTCCATCTAACCTTTAGGTCTTAAATACATATAAATATATGTGGTTTGAAGAAAAATGTTTCCATCAAACAATCGTCCATTTGTTATTTGTTGTCAATATCTGAGTCTGAAAGAATGACCGGAACTATATGACTGTGAGGGCTTCACAGTGTTGTAAACATTAGTTATTTCAGCTGCTGTTAACTCAGGGGTCGGCAACCCGCGGCTCTCGAGCCACATGCAGCTCTGTAAGCCCTCTACTCTGGCTCCCTTGAGCTTAGACACAAATAAGAAGGGAATAAAATACAATTATTTGTAGGACTATTTATATTTTGTTGCACGGTTGAAAATGTTTCATATTTTGAGGTGATACTGACACATATATATTTTTTAAAAACGGTTTTATTTAGGTCAACAAAAATATGCGTCACATCCTGCTACAGTCCCGCACCAGCGCCTTTTCTTGTAGACGAATAACCTGACCCCCGGCTCGATGAGCGAACTATGGATAAATCAAAGAAAAGAAAAGTACCGGAGGAACACAGTATTTAATTCTGCATGGCTAGAGTTATATGCTTTCACAGCAAACAATGCTGGCTTACCGGTATGTTTGATATGTGGAGAGAAGTTGTCAACGGTGCTGCAGCCTTTACGTATTGGAGGGAAAACACGGAAGAGGAAGACAGCTGACGATCTTCAGTCATAATTCAATCAGTTAACTCTTTTTAGGGTGCAGCTATATGTTTTATTTATTTCAAAGTGGGCCCATTTTAATTATATTCATTTTCTTCAAATGTGCAGAGGACTCCCCAAGTGCTGTGTTGATTTATTTTAAAGTAGGCCTGTGTATTTTTTTAATTCTCCTTATAAGAGTTATTTGTTTATTATTAGAGGTAAACCATCCATCCATCCATCTTCTCCCGCTTATCCGTGGTCGGGTCGCGGGGGTAGCAGTTCCAGCAGAGAGCCCCAAACTTTCTTTTCCCTGGCGACATCAACCAGCTCTGACTGGGGGATCCCAAGGCGCTCCCAGGCCAGCGAAGAGATATAATCCCTCCACCTGGTCCTAGGTCTACCCCTTGGTCTCTTCCCAGCTGGACGTGCCTGGAACACCTCCCTAGGGAGGCGCCCAGGTGGCATCCTAACTAGGTGCCCGAACCACCTCAACTGGCTCCTTTCGACGCGAAGGAGGAGCGGCTCAACTCCGAGTCCCTCCCTGATGACCGAACTTCTCACCTTATCCCTAAGGGAGACACCAGCCACCCTGCGGAGAAAACCCATCTCGGCCGCTTGTATCCGCGATCTCGTTCTTTCGGTCATGACCCATCCTTCATGACCATAGGTGAGGGTAGGAACGAAAATGGCCCGGAAGACCGAGAGCTTTGCCTTCTGGCTCAGCTCCCTTTTCGTCACAACGGTGCGGTAAAGCGACTGCAGTACCGCTCCCGCTGCTCCGATTCTCCGGCCCATCTCACGCTCCATTGTTCCCTCACTCGAGAACAAGACCCCGAGATACTTGAACTCCTTCACTTGGGGTAAGGACTCATTCCCTACCTGGAGTGGACAGTCCATCGGTTTCCTGCTGAGAACCATGGCCTCAGATTTGGAGGTGCTGATCCTCATCCCAGCCGCTTCACACTCGGTTGCGAACCGATCCAGTGAGTGCTGAAGGTCGCAGACCGATGAAGCCATTAGAACCACATCATCTGCAAAAAGCAGTGGTGCAATCCTTAGTCCACCGAACTGCAGACCCCCTCCCCCATGACTACGCCTCGAAATCCGATCCATGTATATTACAAACAGGATTGGTGACAAAGCGCAGCCCTGGCGGAGGCCAACCCTCACCGGAAATGGGTCCGACTTACTGCCGAGGACCCGGACACAGCTCTCGCTTTGGGAGTACAGAGATTGGATGGCCCTGAGTAGAGACCCCCTCACCCCATACTCCCGCAGCACCTCCCACAGTAACTCCCTGGGAACTCGGTCATACGCCTTCTCCAAGTCTACAAAACACATGTAGACCGGATAAGCGTACTCCCAGGCCCCCTCCAGGATCCTTGCGAGAGTAAAAAGCTGATCCGTCGTTCCACGACCAGGACGGAATCCGCATTGTTCCTCCTCAATCTGAGGTTCGACAATCGGCCTGACCCTCCTTTCGAGTACCTTAGAGTAAACTTTCCCGGGGAGGCTGAGTAGTGTGATGCCTCTGTAATTGGCACACACCCTCTGATCCCCCTTTTTAAATAGGGGAACCACCACCCCGGTCTGCCACTCCTTCGGTACCGTTTCCGACTTCCACGCAACGTTGATGAGACGTGTCAACCATGACAGTCCCTCAACACCCAGAGCCTTCAGCATTTCCGGGCGGATCTCATCCACCCCCGGGGCTTTGCCACTGTGGAGTTGTTTGACGACCTCAGTGACCTCCCCCCGGGAGATTGGTGTTGATCCCCCGTCATACTCCAGCTCTGCCTCTAACATAGAGGGCGGAGTTGTCGGGTTCAGGAGTTCCTCAAAGTGTTCCTTCCAACGCCCTAACACTCCATCAGTTGAGGTCAACAACGTCCCATCCTTACTGTACACAGCTTGGATGGTTCCCTGCTTCCCCCTCCTGAGGTGTCGGACAGTTTTCTATAATATAATAAATAATAAATGCAAAAAAACTGTAGTTTTTGTCTGATATACAACTTTATAAGCTATCAAGCTATCAAATATGTTTTGCGGCTCCAGACAAAAAACTATTGGTGGAAAATGGGGCAAAATGGCTCTTTTGGTCAAAAAGGTTGCAGACCCCTGTGTTAACTGATCTGTTGGTAATCGTCTTTTGGTTTCACATGGAATATATCAATAGATGGACACTCTTCTTGATAAGCCTGGCATTTCTTGTAAGTCTAGCATGTAGTGTCACTTGTAAAGTCTCTGGGAATGGCCCTCCAGCATCTACACACATAAGTTAATATATTTCCAGACTTTATTGATTGAATGAGCCATTGGATAAAAGACTGGCCAATGTCAATAAAATGCGGGACATCGATTCAATTTGTGGGAAGCGGGACAAATGACATAAATGCTGTGTTGTCCCGCAAAAACGGTCAACTGTTAACACTAGGCTGATGTCAATGCCAATGTGTTTTGAGATCTAAGGATTGACATTGGTAAGCTGAACATTCTTATAACTGTTGGAACTGATGGCCTGAGCCATGAGAGTAAAACCCAAGTTATAATAAACTGTAATCAAACAGCTAAATAGAGCAAGTGGCTACATCGAGTCGATTCCCACCAGCTGCATCTCAGTGCAGCTGGGGAGATAACGGCGGCCTCACTCCCCTGCCTCATGGACATTTACAGCCTGCACAGTCAGCAGCATTGCATATGACCCCTCCCCCCTTAACCCCTCACATGGCCTCTTCAGTTTCCTGCCATCTGGGAGAAGATTCCGGAGCCTCGGAGCCCGCTCCACCAGGCTGAGTAACAGCTTCATACAGCAGACTGTCAGGAAGCTGAACCTTCTCCCCTCCGCCTCAAACAGTCTGCTGTAACCTACTCAGCACACAACACCAGCAACAACAACTCTTTATAAAGAATATAAACACGCCCACCTACACTCAACACCAGCCATTTCAGCTAAAAAAATTAAAAAGCTTTTGCTTATCACTTGTATTAATTATATCGTTTATCACTTATATAAACTCACATTTTTCAATCACTATTTGCAATTTATTTATTCAATTTGACCATTGAAGTATCTAACAAATAATATTATTGAATATCAATATTATACAAATATACATTTTATTTTAGGTTTTGTTATGCTTTATGTATCTTTTTGCAATTGCTTTGTTATCTTTGACAATTTGTTCCCCTTGCAGAATTATACAAATAGTCTGGCTTCACAGCAGTATGTGATACAACATGTATGTCCAATATGCTATGTCCCATTTAAAGGGACAAACAGAAACGTGCCTCCAAGCTGGATTTGTTCATTCCCCTTGGCCATTTTAAACCATCATTATCTGAGATGCTCAATGACTCTTGTTTTTTTTCTTCTTTCTAGCTCTTCATCGACTGTGGCTGTATGGCCTTGTTCTGTGGTCTTTTTTTCAAAAAAAGGTCTTAAAACCACCTGCTAAATTACAAAATGTATAACCTTACAGATTTTCATCACCACTATATCACCGTCCATGTTACCTTTGAGTTTGTTTTGAACATCCAGGGCAATGTCCAGAGGGTAGAATGGCAGCACAGGATCATTGACCAGGCGGAAAATGGCTTCTGCTGTCATCTGCAGACAAAACAAAGACAAAAGACATTTAAATTAAGTTAGTTTATTTTCTCCACTGCAGTATTCATGTGTCATCCCAGCGTAAGCACAACAAAAAGTCTGATTAAGTTGTGGGTATGATAAGGTTTGTAATGACATGCACAGGTTAAATGGACAATGACCCATTTCTCAAGATAAGTGACCGCTGCATATTATTATTTTTCCAGGTATAAGTCCTTGGGGAGCGACTTGTTTATTGTGTCCGAGAGAATGTATCCATGTCCCTCACCAGAGCAAATATAACACGCCTATAATGGACCTATCAGCCCAATATTTGTAAATTGACCAATCAATCAATCAAATAAAATCATAAAATCAACAAAACAACCACTCAATCAACCGATAACTCAATCAATCGATCGATCGACCGACCGACCGACCGACCGACCGACCGACCGACCGACCAATCAATAGGGAAAAATGGAGAGCAACAGAGGAGTTCCCTCTCCCAGGACTGACAGACGTGCTAAAGGTGTCATGTGTACAGATTAGATAAATAAAATAAAATAAAATAATAGAAAATCCAGAAGGCAAAATCTATAATGTGAATGTGTAACATGAACGTTGGATCCAGGAGGATGTTCCGGTTGCATAGGTATTAACAACATCTGATATGTTATGGTCTAGTCCTGACTGGTACTTAGGAGGATCCAATAATGCAGTCAATCAATTCATGTTGCGTCTTGTTGACTACACCGCAGAGTCTCAGATCTGATCATTCACAACATACCTTTGTGGTCCAGATTGCAAATTGAGAGTCTGATAAATGATGTAACATTTTTCTTTTCATACTGATTGGACAACAGCTGCCTTGTTTGGGGAAAATAAATAATTGAGACACCTTTGGCTGCAGTGTGAGCAAACATTTATGGATTTTCCTGCTTGTGCTGACGCGCCATACTGAGAAGCATCGTCCAATTTACAGAGTGTCTGTCTGGCTCTGCTCTCATAGCAAAGTGTTTGTCATCTGGATGCAAACAGTAGCACTGATGTGACCATTCTCTTAGCAGGCTGAGGACTTGGCATGGCCACAGCTTGGATTTTTATTTGAGTGTAGTATCACTGCACTTCGATGTTCTAACCAACCCCTGTGCATAACCTCACTGCTCAGATTATTGATGTATCGATCCCCTTATTCCACACCTAGATTATATCCATCTGACAGGAAATACAGCCCCGCGCTGTACTGCAAGAAACATTGTATTTCTCAGTGCCCCACTATAATTGGAATAACCTTTATCAGCCAAGGACATCACATGCATGATTTACCCTGAGCTGTATTCATTTTCACATTAAGGATAAGATTCAGTGCCTTACAAGATGCAGAGCTTCTTCTTTTGCACTTATCTTCTGTATCCTCTCCCTAGTATTCTGTTAATTTATCGTATTGTTTTTTTCTTAAAGATGATTATTATTCGTTGTTTTGATTCTGCATTTATTTACATAAGATAGTAGAAAGGGAAAAGGGAAACATGGAGACAGTTAAGGAGATACAACGTTCATGCAATACATTAGTGTTGTCTAGAAGGGGTACATTTTATGTTGGTGTATTATTATTTTGTGATTAACCATTTCATTACATTGCATTTAGCTGACGCTTTTATCCAAAGCGACTTACAAGAAGTACATTCGACCAAGAAGATACAAACTTGAAGAAAACAGAATCATATAAGTACATCAGGTTTCATAGAGCTAAAACATTTCAAGTGCTACTCAACTGGCTTTAGATAAGCCAGTCCTTTGTTAGTATATAAGTGCTTTATTAGTATATAAGTGCTTTTTATTTCATTTGTATTTATTTTCATTTTATAGCTCGAAGTGGAGTCGAAAGAGATGAGTTTTCAGTCTGCGCCGGAAGATGTGCAAGCTCTCTGCTGTCCTGATTTCAATGGGGAGCTCATTCCACCATCTTGGAGCCAGGACAGCAAACCCACGTGTTTTTGCTGATGGGAACTTGGGTCCCCTTCGCAGCGAGGGTGCAGCGAGCCGTTTGGCTGATGCGGAGCGGAGTGCACGCGCTGGGGTGTACAGTTTAACCATGTCCTGGATGTAGGAAGGGCCAGATCCATTCGCAGCATGGTACGCTAGTACCAGTGTCTTGAAGTGGATTCTAGCAGTTACTGGAAGCTGGAATTCATAATATTACTTCAGTTCCAACGGCCAGCTGTGACAATTTTAGCACACTGCATAATTGAAGGGCTTTAAGAGAAGACTGGGGAATGATGTGGTGGGATGTATTTTCTACGGAAACCCTGACTGACAAGAAAAATATGGTGATCTATATTGTCACATTTAAAACATGGGGAAGTGGTGCACTTCAACATCATGTGGCTGAAATGATCCTGACAAAAAATAAAAAAAGTCAACCACTAAAACTTTTTTTAATTTGTTTACTGTTTTCACAGATGGGAAACCAATGTCCCTTACACAATTATGCACATTTCCGTTACATTTTTGATTTGTCTAATGTATATTATAGAATGATTTGTATACATTATTTAAGGAACAATGAATTTCCCTTGTGTATAAAATGTGCGAAACACACCTTTGCTACAATAAAGGGAAAAAAAACCCCAGAGTAAGGCCTTTCTTCTCCATAGCTGAAAACGGAAAAGAAAGTAAAGATCAGTGTGAAATACGGCTATATGACTGTGTGTGTGTGTGTGCGCGTGTTCTTGCTGACCTGCCTCATTCCTGGCCACTGAGCCTGTGTGTAGTTGAGCAGACTCTTGGATGATAACCTCAGTACCCAGTTCATCCACTCAGCGGCACCCACCACACACACAAAAATGAATGTGAGTGTGAGGACTGACCAACACTGGACTGAGAGTGAGAGGCAGACTGCCAGAAACCTCGCTGCAGGATCAGGTGAGGAAACAGCCCCAGTACTCACTCAGGCCTCTCACTGTCACTGGTAAACATCAATATATCATTTCCAGATGACTTAGAAATGTATTTTTCACTTGTCTATAAATATAGACTTATATTAACTTCCCGCTTAACATTTAAGAAGCCAGTTTAGAACCAGCTTGCAGAAGGTAACTTGCATATACATTTTGAAAAGTTTAATATTGCCATCAGTTTTTGTTTCTCATGCCATATTTAGTTTGTTAGTTATCAGGTTTAGGTTATTTGTTTCATGTTTAGTTAGTCCATGTTTAGATTAAGTTATTAACGTTACGGTCACTAATGTCTAGTCTTGTCTATCACTGCACTTCCTGATTTTAATTTGTAATTACCTTTTTTTAACTTTATTTTGTAAAGTTAAAAAAAGAAGAACCACTTTTGTTGTCCTGTATTTTGTTTGCCTTTGCCAAGATTTTACTCTCAAAGAATGATCAATTTCTTACACTTATAAGTGTTACCTCTTGAAGAGTGACATCACTGTCAAGTTCTTCGAAACCAAATACGCTAAATCATTTAAAACTATAGCTAATCTTAATTTCATCCCTTAATGTTAATATAACCAGGTTCCACAGGTGTCACTGACATTGTGGTTCTACTCAGAGCTTGGTGTCCAGTGCCTTGCTCAAGGGCACCACAGCAGGGCAGGAGGTGAACTGGGACCTCTCCAAGTAGCAGTCTACACTCCATATTTAGGTCTGTTTGGAGACTTGAACCGGCAACCCTACGGCTCCCAGTCCAAGCCCCGACTGACTGAGCCACTGACGGACATCCATGTCCCTAAACAAATAATCATTAAATGTGGCCAACCCATTTGAAGGCACAAATCATAAAATGCAGCGTAGAGGCAAAAATAATCGTCCAATGTTTACTTTTTCCAAGAAATGTTGTTCCTGTTTGACAGAGAGGCTGGGGAACCATTAAATCTATTTTGGTTCTTATGAGGATGTTGCCAATATGTAGTTAAATGGCCAATAGCCAGGGCTGCACATAACTGGTGTGCAGGTGCGCATGCGCACCCCCAGCCGAAAAAGGAGCACCGGATCATTTGAAAAAAATCGCATTTGCACACCAACATTGAGAGAGAGAGAGAGAGAGAAAAGAGAGAAGAGAGAGATGAGAGGAGAGAGAGAGAGAGAAAGAGAGAAGAGAGAGAAGAGAGAGATAGATAAGAGAGAGAAATATTTGCGAGTTGCATAAGAACTGGTAAGGTAGTAGGTTTTCCCACACATAGACTACTTGGGCGGGCCGCCCAGGTATATTAACGGCCGCCAAAGTATAATTCGCGAACCATTTAGGTTTAATTTTTTTAATCCGTCCGCGAGCACGACGGCATCTGTGATCCCTCGCTCTACCCTTCGCTATCGCGTGACGGGTCTGCTTTATGCGCTCCGCACAGTAACCCTGCTGCGAGGCATACAGTGAACAGCGAACAGTTCATGTGCGTGCTCACTAGCGCACCCGCCCCCGTTCATAAAGTCAAGTACCCCTCAAAAGGTCCGGTTTATTTCATTTTAAGGATGCACACCAAGAAACATTTCCAGGTGCTCCTTTGAGAACCAGGGCAAAATAGTTATGTGCACCCCTGCTAATAGCTTAGGCAGAACACTTTTTAGTCTGGTTTTATTGGTTGATAATTCAATGAATCACTGCAATCCTCTAGTTTTCAAGCTGCTCTAAGCCAAATTATTTGGAATGGACACAGCATGAAATGGCTTTATATGTGGGAGGTTTGCTAGCATGCGCACCTCCGCCAAAAAAAGAGCACCGGGTCATTTGAAAAAAGGCGCATTTGCGTACCAAAATTGAGAGAGAGAGGGAGAGAGAGAAGAGAGAGAAGGGAGAAGAGAAAAGAGAGGAGAGAGAGAGAGAGAAAGATATTTGCGAGTTGCATATGAACTCAGGGTCGCACTGGCGTTATAGATGCCAGTGCCTAGGGCGCCAGATCCGGGGAGGCCCTGCGCTGGCAGTTCTGGGAGGGAAAAAAACATTTTTGACCGTTGGTGCTAATCCTAATTTTCGGCCTTGATGTAACAATATTCATAATTAAGTAAATG